CGCATAGTTCTTGAAGACAATTCGTTTACGAAATCTCGTTCTTCCACACGCTTATGAGCTGTGCACAGATCACCTGAATGTTTTCGAATCGCGAAATAGAACGGACCGTGATGTTGGCCCCCATCCAGAAAAAGCTATCAAATCCACGTAACTATGTTCTGAGCTGTTTCGGAGCATCAGCTTACTAGACGGTAGTAGCCCTCGATCCATAGGTTTTCGGGAATGCTTTTTGCTTGTGCTTATGAGCGGCGATATGGGTGTTTGGTACTGGAAGGTGCCGGCTAAGCCTGGCGCCATTGCATATCGCCTAGCGGTGTCCGCGCGGAACCCCACATGGTGCGCGCCTGTTCGTGACTCCGTCGTGCCCAGCGCGATCGGTCACTCGGTCGGCTGCTTCTGGCCACTAAGTAACATCCAGCACACACAAGCTACGCCAACAATTGCACAGCAACCACGTAGTAATTCATTCGTTTCTTCCGAATTTTTTTCGGGCATCGACAGCTGCTGTGGAAGGCGCCTTCATGAATCGAGTCCACTTAGCTGCTCGATCTCTTTACAACTTACTACTAGCAGGAAAAAAAAGAATGATCTTTACTCGAGCGTTTCTAATTTATCTAGGCTGCAAGAATGTTCTATTGCTTCGCCCGAAGCAACATGAATTAGTCAAAACAGAGAGGAAACATTATTGTGGAGATTCATGTGACTAGCTGGGTTACAAAACCCAAATTTTCTGTTGTTCTCCACAAATCACCCGTAATTTTCATCTACGCTGAAATGTTTCAAACACTAAATCGCACAATATAATAAAAATACGAAGAATTACTAAATCGCATAATTTTCCTCTAGTCTTTAGAATAGAAGATTCGGAACCTTTCTGAAACCACTTGACCTCCATTACGTATTTCAGGGTTTACGGAGAAATTTGTAAGATGCTTTGGTCAAAATTCATGCAATATTTAACCCATAATTCTTTTCGGAAGATCTATATAGAGTTGAAAACAATAGTTAACTTTTTAATGAAACGTTTGAAATTGGGGTAAGAAGCAGAATAGGTAGATTCCAAAAAGAATTACGAGCACAAATTTCTGAAAGATAGAGGAAAAACGAAATGTAAGCAAACCCAAGGACTTTCTATTAAACACGGTATTGATCAGTAATGTTCTGTTTTTCTTGATGAGCAAACACGAGGTTGGTATTACAGAATTTATTAACATAGACTAGCTGAATGCTCACCATTTTGTTGTTTTTAAGTGTTCCAGTTATTTAATCGAGATCATCCCCACAGAGTAATATACGGGCGAGAAGCGTGCCTTGTCCAGGTCAGAGAATCAGCCTGAAGTATGGTGCTAAGTCTCCCGTGATCAACCCCCTTTGCTGTTCATTTCCGGATTTTTGGAATAAATCCAAAACGCTTCAAGAGTTTTACGCGCTGATGTTTCGGATTTCTTTGAGAGGATAGTGACTTTTAGCTCAAAATCTTTGTCATTATGTCTATGCATCCCGTGCGAGCCTAGTATTTGGTTTAACAATAAGTTTATCGATTAGATGCTTCTTTATACGGATGCAGAGTAGTCTACCCGATTCACCAATGTTGTCGTCACCGTACTCTTTACAAAAGATCACATAAACCGTGTCCAAACTCATGCAATCATCATCTTTACCCCTGGGACATACTGTGTAGTTTCGCGCTCTAGACAGACGGCGAACTAGTTAGGTAGTTAGAGTGGTCGATGGTATTTCAATTATTGTTACCGAAATCCCTAGACCGGCGCTTCTTAAGCAGCGTTTTTAGGTGAATTTCCTTGAAAGTAAAGGATAAGATAAGTGGGCTCTCATTCTCGCTAGAATTATCGTTTTGTGGCTTAGGTTTTCCTCTACACCTATCTCGACGACTGCGGCGCCAATTTCCGGGATTCCTCCTTCTGTCCTCTTCATGTACACACACTGCTGGTTGTTCGAAACATGTCGCTTACAAGTGCCATTTTGATGTGTGAGGGTGAGAGGAGAGGTAATGAACTTTAACTTCTATTACTTGGCTTTCGATACCATTTCGTAATGTAACCACTTTCGGAGAGGTTAATTTGAACGTTCAGAATTGGAATCGTTTTTTCGTTTCTCTCGAGTGAATGGTAAGTACCCTGACCGTTCATTCAATAACTCAAAACATTTAAGGATAAGGTCCCGTTTACCCTATTCTTTATTTCCAACGAAATAAATAGAGCACTAAAACGTTGCTTGAGAAGGGTCGGTTTAGACAATTCGATAACGGCAATTTAAATGCCACCGAGCACTCTAGGACGCCAGTTAGTTCCCAATCGCCTGTACGACCGTCTGTGTACAAAGCAAAACTGCATAATATGCCCTAACGATGGAGAAGGTAATTGAATGAGTTCTTTTTGCAAAGCATTAGGGGACGTATACATTTGCGAAACGGCTAGACCTTTCTACATCCGTAAAAGGAACACTTAGTCGGTAAATTTAAAGTTAAACCAAACACTCCAGTAGGCATGCACAAGGCACAGAGACATAACGACGAAGATTTTGAAATAAAAGGCACAATCCTCGTACAAACTTCAGTTCGTAAAACTCTTGAAGCGTTTTGGATAAATTCCAAAAATCCAAAAATTAACCGCAAGCCAAAGAGGCGGAGCGATCACGGGTGACCTAGCACCACACCTCAGGCTGATTCTTGTGACCTGACCCAAGTCCTTCCTCACCAATGTAATACTCTGTGCTGCTGATTTTCACCAAATAATTGGAAGACTTATAAACAATAAAACGGTGAGGTTCTTAAAGAAGCTGTCTATTGTGAGGACAAAAAATTTACCCATTAAGTTTGTCTCCTGAAGTGACGAACGTGTATGGCTGAGTAGATTGCGTGTCAATTTGACCGTTCCAGGTTCTGAAGAAGGCGAAACCGCCGAAACGTCAGCTATTCTGTTTTACTAAAACCTGTGACACCAACCTCGTGTTTGCTCATCGAGAAAAACAGGGAAATTAAAGCACAAAAAATTCCACTAGTCCTGTTTTGGTCTGCTTTTTCACTTCGAATCGCTTTCTAATCAATTATTATGTGTTACATTTCTGATAGTTAGTGATAACAGTGATATCATTGCGCCAACCATGTTCTATTTTACTCTACTTCGTTCGATATTTGCATAGTAATGACCTTTCTCAATGGCTTGGATATAGAACCCTCTTTTACTACTTCCTTACTCAATCATTTTTCATAATACTACTTCTTTATTTCGTCTGTAGAAGTTGTTCTCATGAGTCCTTAGCAATAGAGTTACATAAAAAGCTGCTGAGCTTTTCCCGCTAGTGAACGCGTTGGACAGGTCGATATTTGACAATCCGTCCTTACATTTTTAGGAGAGCCTCTCTTGTTACCAGACATTCCTCGATTCTCTCAGATTGCCTCGAATTCGGAATCACATTAAATTATCCTTTTCTTCTCTAGTAGTTGTTTTCTCAGCAAAATTAGGCGGGCTTTGGTAGGTGTGGCACCACCTTCCCTGTTCAAGCGACTTGCTTGCGTTAACACATTCACCGTATCCAAAGCCAAGGGATTCCGTCACAGAGCAAAGAACATCACCACATTTGAGATTCTCTTCTTCCAGTTCTCCTCAATGATTGTTATTTCTTACAGTAAGCCAACCGCTGACGTCTTTACAACATACATCTTACTCTGAGCGGTAGGTACTAATCAGTAGCCGCTATTCAATTCTGTTAACTTCCAGTAGGTAAAGTTAAGGAAAGGACTGAGACTCCCTGGTCATCGACTGCCTTGCACAAATAATTTTTCGACTCGTTTTTTAGACGCGGGAACTTATTGGTGTACTGGAAAAGGCCTGAGTCACTCATACGTTTGAGATAAAATGTCGTCTCAAAATGGTTGATATCACTCTACACCGTCATTTTTTCTCACATATCAAAAAAGATTCCACGCACTGTCAAAGTTCTTTCTGGCGAAGCTTTTCTAGCGAATTCTGATAGCGTAGCGTGATTTCTTTCTTACATCATGATCAGAATCAGAATCCCATATATTATAGAATATAGAATCCTTGTTCTCATTGTCTGTTTAGTTAAAGAAGGGAAATAACTGTCATAGACATTGTGGTTTTGTATAAGAACCAAAAAATGTGCAAGAAAAAGGTGGCGTTATTGTAGCCGTGACGTCGTGACATAGGCTGACGATGACGAGGAACGCTTTGCACTTCCAAGAGTGAAAATAGGCGGCTTCGAAGCAAGGATTTAAAGAAACCTATGATCAGCTACGCATTCACCGCACTATTATAATTCCACAAAAGATGACCGGATAAGAGAAGCGAACGTTCGAAGTAGAGCCTTACCTGCTTGGGTACCAAGTGCGCCCGTGTTCCCAGCTGTTGCTCGAGCGCTCAGTGGCGTCGTGGACCCGAACGTGCTCGTGTCGACGCGGGGACGTCGTGATCCGGGCCGGCGGTGACGTGGGTACTCTCGGTGAATGGAGGCCGGGACTCGGCTCAGTAGCTGTTTGCACTCACTTTTCTTTCTGTGTGTTTGAGAGCTCGGCGTGCGTGTGCGCAGCCTCGCCATGCACATGCCTTCTATTCGTTCGTTTGTGCAATTTTTTCAACAGCGACAAATTCGCCTCACGTCACGAATTTCGCTATGTTTATACTCAGCTGCAAACCAAATCATAATGCGATTCTGCACTTAGCCTCTTGCGTCTTTCTGCTTTCCTTAGACCTCGCTTTGTCGTATGAATCTCTATCGAGAACCTTCCTAGAGCTTTTATGAACTGTAAGGTGGTTTAGGTTTTAACAAATTTGCTTCACTAACTATATATAGCATATTTGCAAGACCTTTCTATCAACTGTTTCACTCATTAACGACTGAATGTGACTTGAATGAGAAACCGAAATAATGAAAAGCCAGAAAGTCGGTGGTATGTGGTCTCTCTCAACTTCCTCCTGTCTTAGAGCACATTTATCACCAAAACTTGCAAACCCCACATATTATTCTATAAGATAAAACCAATGAGGACAATCACTGAAAGTATACCTTCTCAACAGTTTAATAGATAATGGAGGGTCATAGTTCAATTGTTCGGATTTGCACTTCCTACCAACTTTTGCATTGAAAGAGAACATTTTGGTGACAGCGACTCCACCAGGTGCCAGTTCAGCTCCGATTCTTTTGAAGACCTTATGGCTATCATTATTATCAATTTTATACAGACGTGCACCTTGGCGACTGTGCACACCTTGCCGAACGAGACGAGCGCCGCCACTCATCGTTCCTGAATTTGCTCCTGCTAGCATCGCCAACACTGCGCATCGAAGTGTCCACCGCGTCATTTTCTCGGAGAAGATCTCATATTGAGAAAAAGCCTTCACGATTCCGAATTTTGTTCCAGTTTCTGAAGAAGCTCTTCGGGTTTAACTTGTTTTCCTCTCTCTTTTTTTGCTAATATGTCAGACTCAAATCAGATTTTCAAACAAAAAGTGTTCAGATCCCTCGTACCTATTTCATACTGAACTCGTTTTTCAATGACTAGGAAAAAATTGGAAGGCTCTTGCACTAATTGTACTGATCTGAGTTTAAGATTTAAGAATATATATTTAATAATAATAATTTCAGATAGGGATTTAAGAATGTATTTTGCTATTTTTCGTAAGGTTTGAGTACACAAATTGTGCACAAAAATTCCAGTCCATCTTTCAGTCTCAATGCTAACTCGTCTTTTTCTAGTTTACTCCATTTTTCATAGATGGTCTCGTAGTGAGAAGCTTTTTCCACGCAACAGCCGTAAAGGGCGCGGGTGGTCTCGCTTTCGAAATTTCTTTGTCGATGGGTGGTCGGTGCTCGTCGTCGATTCATGAATACACTGGGTAGCGCTGTATTCTCCTCGCGATCGCCTTTTTTGGACATCGACGACCTTCTTCCGAACCCTTCTATAGTATCCCGAATGTTTAGTGGCGCTGAGCTTCCAGTGTACTTAACAATTTCAACATTAATTATAATTTTTATGAAACTCTACCCTAAGCAGAAGAACATAAAGCTAAATCAGCGGCACTTCTACAGATTTTGAAACCATTCCCTTCCTCTTCTCAGCTAAATTTTTGCTACCTAGACTACCACTGGAATAATTTGATCAAAATCATCGAGTTTTCCTCCGAAATTCCTTTATACCTAGAGTGAGTTGATTACTCAGTGAAAGAAGTTTGATAATAGAAAGAGTTCATTTTCTAAAATAACTTGCTTGTATAAGTTTGCAGTCTAGTAAAAAGGTTTTTGTATGGTTTACATTTCTGCTGTTAAGAAAATGCACGAGAAGCTTTTTGTTTAGTTATAGTTGCATGATTGAGCTTGCAAGAAAACGCGAAGCCACGACTTTTCGTAGCTTACCATTAGCTTTTTGAGAGTCTCATAAGCAGTAGTGCAGGTCTCTAAATAGAAGCAGCTACGGTAGCGTCTGTCGGTGCTTGGGTGACACGTCGCTATTTGTGCGGCTGCCACTCCTTGCTGTGTATACTCGACTTGGCTTGACCTCAACCTCACTGACATCTCAAACACTCGGTCATACAAGCCCTCTACCTACCAGCACAAAGAGCTCTCGTCATTCACTGAGTGCATGCTAACCGCCACGATCACCATCTTAAATATTTCCGCCGCTCTGCCGAAGTCGCACTCGCATACATCTTTGCAAAATAGTGCTTGCTGTTCTGTAGCTATTCTACTTCTTTGCAGCTTTATGATGATACTCTTGATCTGCGTTTGGATTCATAACCACATCCATAGCTTTGTTCTTTTCACGAGTGCTCATTCACTCTTTCCAATAGCATTCTTTCTAGCCATGTCATTATTACATTATTACTAATTTGTTAAATTACTAAATTAAATTATTACTAAATTTCATTACCAAATGCCGGCTAACTTTTCCGAATCCTTCACTTTTCGAATTTGTGACACTCACTTACATATGGCTTGTTTTTCACGTCAGAGTTGCCAAAAACCCATTCAACCTATATTGTGTCTGTCTGGAAGGTAGCAATGCATCGTAACTTTCTAGGCGTTTGATCGATTAATTAATCTATCAATTGATAATAGCAGGGTTATCTGGTAATGAACCTTTCCTACTGTTCTCAGAATCAAGTCGCTCTTGTTGTAACCTACCCTGATTCATTTTTAAAGCTTTCCGTAATGTTATAGATGCGTTCTAAGCCTCTGAGATGTAGGAATTTTATGCGCGACGGAACGGAATCTTACAGTTATTCGTCTCCACTCCTTCCCGAAATCTGCAGTCGCACATAGTCAACTTGTAGTGTGACGGAACTCCTTGAATTTAGATGACTAGCTTCTAAAAGAGGAGAACGGGAGCACAGTTCACTGTGGACAAACACAATTGGAAGTTCATTCGAATTGTAACTCTGATTAATCCCTTCTTGGGCATGCCTATTGCTTCAAATCGCTGACCAGAAGCGCTAAATTCCAAGGATCTAGTTAATCTCTGGCCGAAAATTCAGTATATTGGATAGCATTAATAAATAGCTATTACTTCTTATGCATGGATAAAGGAGAGCTTAAGTGAATGGAATAGAAAAGATCGTTAGTAAGTAAGAAACTAAAAATTTGACTCCGTAGTAGAACATCAAGTTCATTGGTTCATATCAGTTCAGAAGACTTAACAACCCATTCGAGGAAAAGGTATATCACGAAAGATCGGGATATTTTGTCCACTACGGTGTAGCGAGTTCAAATGCACTGCGAGTTATCGCATTTAGCTTATCAGAATGTCTGAAGAATCTCCAACGAGTTTACTCACAATTAGGAGATTTTCTTCATTGGCTTGTCGTCGACCTATCAAACACGGAAAGTATTGGTCAAAGCAATCTCTAGAATGTGCAAGATAATTACATAAAGCTATACGCATTGATTGAAGCACTGGTGACTAGAAATTGTCCGCATACAAGCGCTTTTAAGGCGATTCTGTTAATGTACTTAACTTTGTCTGTCTACCTACAAGTACTTTAGAGCTTCGCCAAGTCTAATGAGAGTCGCTTAAAAGATGTGCTTCAACCAGTACTGTGATGGCGAATACTGTAGCACGACTGCTCATGCAGGCCAATCTGGTGGCCAGATCAAAAACACATTATCCCGGCTCGGTGACTTCGAAACGGCCGTTTAGCTGATTCATTCCGCGGTGCCGTCGTCGTGGCGGGCAACTGTTCACCCGTTCATGCCTCTTACGTCGGTCACTAATCAAGTCCGTCGTTTCAGCTCTGCACATCCCGATTGACAGCGTTATCATCCATAAGATTATTGGAATAGCGCGGAGTGCCTTTGTGATTCATTCTTAGGATTTATTTCTGAATTGAAACAACATCTTTCACTTCAAACTGTCACAACCATGCTGGTTACTTATCACCTGCCACCATGACAAGAAGGCAGTATCTGTGGCAGAAGTTATCTGTGTCGAATTTGCTACTTGGAGGAGCTTCGTTTTACCCGAATTCCCTTCATTATTCTTTTATTAATAGCAACATACACAAACGCTCATACAGACCTGTCTATTACTCATCGTTGTTAATCACGACAGAACAGAAGGTTCTGTGGAGCCATGCAATAATCTGGACCCCTCCATCACTAGCGATCTTCGTGCATAATTTCTTTCTGGTTGAATATAATCGGTGAAACCGCGCCTGCTATTCACGCCATGCCATCGAGACAAACTCTCAAACTATGCTAGAGGAAGGGACTCGTCAGTTTGGTTTAGACTTCTCCCTACTGACTGAATCACATCTTTAAATAAGAGGCTGAAAGAACCGTATTTTTTGGTGAAATGAGACATTTGCTAAAAAGGTGTATTCCAGAACTATTTTCTGGCTTTTTTAAAAAGATGTTCAAGAGCATTCCAGTATATTGTAGGTCGTTATGAAGCTCATGAGTGTGGAAAGCCAAACAGGTGCTTCCATTATTGCGTTCCATTGGTCTTCAATCGTAGTTTTCTACGAAGTGCTCGGATCCCCACTAAAGATGAAAAAGTTCGCTTAGGGTTTCCAGGGCTCCATCTTGACTGGATGTGTGCAAGGTTACTGTCCTCTTCTTACAGATACAAGTGAATTTTGGGCAGTTTTTACAGATCTTAGCATATTTTAGCAGTTTGTGTTGTGACTTTGTCACTATAATTAAAGCTATTCCTCTTCTTTTTCAATTTAGTCTTTTTATGCTGTTTGTTATCGCTAACTGATCACCATGATGAATCACGTTATGCATACTTTTTTGTGACGAACTTATTCGATTCATCATTCCATGGCTTCTATTTTTCGTTTCGTCATTCTCATCCCTTCCTCACCTCTGTCATTTCTATGTTTTTAACTTAGTACAAAAGTACAGGAATTAAAGTAGTCTCGGAATGATGGGAACTTGATAAATATGGGAAGATCGTTGTTTTATGAAACGGTTTGACTCACCAGTGACACCATTCATCCTTTGGGAAGTCGCCAACTATTGGCTACTTATGAATTGATAACCATAACATTTCGATTTCTCAGATGTCCAGCAACTGCTGCTACCTCTGCACAGAATGTCCCAACTCCTACGCAACATTTCATGAGCTCGAAATACACATGAATCACCACAGTAAGTCGCAACAGGACACACAGACGTGCATTGAGGTGAGATAGGGCCTTCGTATGCTGACAAGTCGTCCCGACCCAAACGCTCTTTTGCTTGTCTTTAGACGAAGTTCTAAGAAGAAGTTAAGGCAGTTTTTTCGTTGTTCTCAAACTCGACGAGTTCTGCTGTGTTCCAAAGTTGTTCCCCACCTCCTACGGTATTAAGTCATCGGACGTCAACGGCGTTTACTTCCAGCTCTAAGTATCTGAAGCTGATTGAAGCTGTAGACAATATGTGCCATAAAACTAAAATCGTGAAGCGGTACAGGACAACCTTTACATAGAAAAACCATTCAAAGTCCAACGAGTAATTAAGTTCTACAAGTTGTCAATTTTGAATTTATGCGCATTTTTTATTTCCTCTCTATGTTCTAAATAGTCGGCTCCTTTTCTCCGTAAATAGTTTTTATGAGCTACAATAGTGTTATATAGGCACGGCTAAACGGGACGATATGCATGGGCTGTTCCATACTCCGTAGAATGACTGCTTCCTTCAAAAATTCCTCACTCAAAACACAAGGAGATACAGTACAGAAGCATCTTGGATACTTGGATACTTGGATAGTCCATCTTCACCAGTTGTTCGAGCGCCAGCACAATCTCCATTTTTTCCTTTCTTTTTGGAGACTTGCCGGTTGAGCCACTGTGGTTCCCTGGGATCCCGAGGTCAGCCTGGTTAAGGTCTGCCACGGGGTACAAAAACATCAAGTCACCAAAATTCGACACATGAGTGTTCTCACAGGAGAGAAAAGTTGGTAGATTAAGGTCATATTAAACTGATTGGTGAAATTCTATTTTTGATTGAGTTCTAAAGAACATGGACAGTACACCGCTCACTAGTCAATACCATAGACATTTTTGTGCCATTACAGACAGAACCAAATACAGTATCATAAGTGCCTGAGTTGGAATTTTAAGACAGTGAAGGGTGTCTGACTTGCTCCGTTTCGACTCTAATTTGGGAAGTCGTAGCTCAAGCGTAGAGGTGAAAGCACCGATCGAGTGGTGATCGCGCAGCTTTTGTCGCCGACACGACGGTTTTATTGGCTTTGTCTGTTGAATGATGAGAAGCTCAACTGTCTATTACGGCCGTCGGCGACGGTTTGAACTACACTCGAAAACACAAGTGCTTGTGAACTTGAGCCTGTATGCCGTTACGGAAACTCACAGAGCTCGAAAAACTTACGGAAACATTTTGATTGTTTAAAGGGGAATTTTGTTTCCCTATCCACTACCTAAGAACCAACAGCTTAGTTTTTCCATCCCATTAAAAATGCAAAAAAAAGTAAATAAGTGGATAGAATTCTTAATTAGAAAGGTGGATGTAGTGCAAATTGTCTCAAAAAGCCTGATATCTACGATATTTATCGGATGTGCCAGGTCGTAATATTGATTAAAAAAATAAAAGGATAAAGCTCTCAGCGTTGATCAATCCCTGAGGGATGCACCATGCATTCGACTTCACTAAGTATCGTTGGAGGTGATTGAATGCATATCTGGCCTTTACAATGGCTAGCGGTGACCTGCTATCCTCCCAGACAAGTCTGGTACCAATTCGCCGACCTCGGAGGGATGGAAGGCTTGGTGGGCCATAGGCATGGAGATCGGTTCCACATGTGTGTTGCAGGGCGCCTCCGACCACTGCGCCACACACGCCCTGTAATATTGATAGATTTGATAAAAGCAGTAACAACGTGATAATGAAGGGATAGTAATAGTGGCGATCACGTGGTAACAGTGTTAGTATTGATAGGTATAGGTAATAATAATAATAGGATTAACGGTATAACAATAGGAATAGTGTAACAATACAGTCCTTGTTTAATCATAGACTGAAAAGAAACTCTTTCAGGACAATGACCTATCGGAAATGGACAGGCACTCGCCGAGTAGCTCAGATCTGACGGATGGAGTGGCGTCACACGATGTCGACGAGGATCATATGGACCAATCAATAATCGAAGACACGATGCTGGATCAGTCTATCGATTCGATCGAAGATCTTAAACCTGGTTATCAGTGTCGATTCTGTCCGATACGTTTCGACGAACGTGAACAGGTGCAGCTCTGGTCTCAACATTTCAGTTTATCCCTATTCTCGATATTAGTTATTTCAGCTGAATTCGCACTACACGAACTGCCATCGGGACAAGCCGCAGTACGAATGCGATGTCTGTCACACTATCTTTGCAGTAAAGAGAGAGTTGTCGACTCACTTGCGGACACACAGTGGCGAACAACCACATACAGTAAGCCGAACAAATAATAGATGTCTATTTAAGCTTATAAGATTCTAAAAAGATCTAAGTCGAATTAGGATGAGGCGTTTCTCTTTTGATTTTTTCTATAAGTTGCGTACAAGCAGTGGACAATGTTGGTTTTCTCACAGACCTCTGAAATGCTCTTGAGGTTTGCACTTACAGTACTCAGATGATTCATCGATTATTGTGTGGAATATTTCTTTCAGAAATCTTGACGGCGCCTATCAAGCAAACATCCTTTCTCCAAACACTACGTTAATAGAAATATTAAACTATTGGTTTAAATGAACTGCCCCACTGGGTGACAAAATAGTTGTCGGGATGAATTTTAGTGCACGCAGTGTGGCAAAGAGTTTGGAACGCGGCAATTGCTGAAGAAGCACTGGATGTGGCATACCGGCGAGCGTTCGCACGTCTGCAAACACTGCAGCAAGGCATTCTTCCAAGTAGGTGACCATCTGCGAACGCTATCTTGAATACCTTAGCTATCTGGACTCCGTGGCAATCGTAAATGTGTGACAGTGTTAACCGCTAAAGTGTTCATGTAAACGGCCGTTGGTGAACTGACACGAGGTTGTCAACACGTATTTTGAATCCCAGTGACTAGCGTTCCGATGTTTGGGATTTCTTCGAATTGATATTAAGAGTAATCAGCAACGTGATCAGTTGTAGTAAATCCATCTAAAAGGACGTACCTCACGTAATCTAGCTCTTTGGGCTTTTAGACCAAAACTGAGCTCTTAGAGTCAGGTTCTTTCCATTCCGAACTGTAAATGCATTCATACATCTCAAATGAACCTGGCAGAACTGTAGTACAGATTTTGTATCTACTCGTAAACGATTGAAAAACACAAGACCCAAGAGTATCCTCTGGGATTTCACATTTTAAAGTGAAAGTATCTCAAAATTTCAGGCAAAATCTTCTTTCCCTATTCTTATTATTCGGAAATGTCTTTTTTTATAGATACCTATATCTTGTGCTATGGTGGTTTTATACTTAAACCACCGATGACTGTCAATGACTATTTTATAAAGACGAACAAATTCCACCGAGAGTTAGAACGCTGTTTCAGAAGGGTCACCTCACGCAGCATCTCATGATTCACTCAGGCGGACGTCCGCATCAGTGCAATCTTTGCCAGAAGACGTTCATCTTTAAGGTCTGCTAATCGATTCCCATTAATCGATTTTCTTATTCGTTTATAATTGCTCTTGTTCACTTCAAATTCCAATGATTCAGTCATGCCCTCGATTTCATTTCATAAAAGTTCGCTATGGTTCTCTATTAACATGGGGTCACTTGAAATCTGTCGAAACATCATCATATTTGCAATATTAGAGAATCATTTTAAAGTACCAAAGTGAGACCTCACGGGAAGATTGAGGACAGAAATTTTTTCTTAGGAGCACTGTGTTTCTTCATGGAACTTCTTCATCGCAGACAGCGATAACCTCTTAAAAGGATAAAGCTCTCGACTTTGATCAATCCCTGTGGGATGCACCATGCATTCGACTTCACTAAGTACCATTGGAGGGGACTGAATGCATATCTGGCCTTTACAGTGAGTCGCGGTGACTTACCGATATATCAAGTCAGTGTTGATATCTTCCCGGCCAAGCCTGGCAATTTGTCGACTCCGGAGGGATAGTGAGCTTGGTGAGCCTCACGCGTGGGGATCGATCCCGTCTCACACGCGCCCTTAGGGAAGGGTTATACTGTTCCTTAACCGTATCTAACAATGGCCGTATGAGTAGATTAAAGAGAACGATATTTTCTGTAGCTATCACTATAAACGACCTTTAAACTAGTAGCGACGACTCCCCTATTCCTTGCAGCATGATACGGTTTGTTCATCTCATAAGGTCTCATAAACTTACCAAGGCTTCTTACTGTGAGCACAAATCTATACAGTTATTTTTGAAGAGCGGATTTCATTAACCTTGGTATGAATAATCAGTGTGGTTCCTTTCATTGATAAGCCAGCATGAGATTGTTACCGACCCGACGTGGTATTATCTAAATACTTTCTCTGGAATGAATTTTAAGGCGAAAATCACTATGATATGATGATGCCAAGGTGTTTAAAGCGCAAAGTGTGTGATTGGGACATAATTTGAAGCAAATAACAACTGACTGTGAATCTTTCTCTCACAGTTGCGTCTTTTTGCCGCAGTTTTTCACCTATACCTTTGAAAAGACCTTCTTTCTTTCGAGTAGTTAACATAGGGGCGTTGAGTTGGACTAAATAGATGAATAAGGGTCTCACATGGAAACCTAGGGTCTTCTGCGATGTAGGATCTTGAGTTAGTGAAAATAACCATCAAAAGTAAAAGAAAACTGAAAACATGCAGAAAGAATTATCTTCCTACAACACCACTACTAAATGTTAGGTCCGATAGGAGCCATTAGTGACCTACGGCTTTTTTCTAGTTATATATGGAAAACATTGCTTCCGACCCTGGCTTTAACTTGCGGTAAACGGTATTCCTCTATCTTAAGAAAGCAAGGGCCGCCAAAAAGTCGTAGACATTTCAGTTCGATCTGAATCGACATATGAAGATTCATGCTGAACGTGGCTACTTGTGCCAACAGTGCGGTCGATCGTTCACTCGACAACAATCACTCGACGAACACTCGATGAAATGCAAGACGAAGAGGTTGGTGATGGTTATGTATTTCTCTGTTCTTCTTACGGTCTTTACTAGAGCTTATACTTCAGGCTTCTGCTTTTCTCAATGCAGCGCCTTCACGTATGCACCACAATTGCTCGCATTTCGCAGCCCCTGATCTGCATTAAAAAACCCGATGATTTATAGCCATTGCTGGTACAAGGGGTCTCTCAAGAGCCGAAACCTTCAATCTGGATTTTCATTATAGCTCCAAATGAATAATCAGTGCTGTGCAGTGAGGGCTTGTGGGATGCGTGAATGCATGTATATATACATATATACGTGTATATGTATATACATATATGTATATACATATATATGTGCCATTTTATTTTTACTTGGCCCGTTATCACGTCTACTGCGCGGATCCCAGCACTTCCTACATTTGATTCCTTTTCCTCACATTCATCGTCCAAAATGCTCTTTAAACATTTCGCGGGTGGTTTCGACTGCTGCTTCTTTTCGATTTCGTCCTCTTTGCGAGTTTCGTAGAGTTCTGGTCGAGTGGATTCTCCTTGTAATCCTGGAGATAGCCATATTAGAGTGTCCCTACGTGGACTGCCGGAGATCGTTGGATAGTGGGCCGTACTAACGCTTTTGCTTCCTAATCGACGACATCACTAAACCCTTGCAGCGCTACCCTCAGCCTTCAGAAAAGCACAGTTCTACCACATTTCGAACGTTTTTCCTGAGTTTATGATTATTTCTAGAGTTTTTCACCACAGCTTCGGATTATTATAATACCACAAAAAGCAAACGAAGATACTCTTTTCGCAGCAAGCAGTAAGAATAAGTACATCATAATTACAGCAGACAACCAGTGTATATAGAAAATCTGAAGATCACACCACACCACGCATGTGTTAACCAGTGTTAACACCCTACGCTGTTACGTGTTCATTTATCATTCGTCTTTTAGCTCTTCCGAAACTGCAACACCACCAATGAAAATCGAGCAACCATCATCGGTTTTCCCACTTATTTCCCAGCCTTTTCTCAATTTCAACCAAGAGAATATTGCCAAGGTGATCATTGAAATGACTATTTCAAGAATAGCTCGTATTTTAACTCCTCTGTATACAGATGGCGCAGTCGTTGATCGCACAGCAACAGCAACGAACTCTGGCCGCACTGCTCGCCCGCCAGCAGACCGTTGCCCATCTGCCAGCGGCTCCAGCCGTCCCAACTGCTCTCCAACCCACTTCTCCCGTCATTCCGTCACTGTTCTGTGTGCTTTGCAGTAAAGCGTTTCCAAATCAGCCTGCGTTTACTGTACACATGTACGTCTGTCATATCCAAGGAAACAATGTGCCAGTGATAAGCGAACAGGTGAGATGGGACTTTGACGGAGCTTTACCTCCAAAAAATATTTAATTTTAACAAACTTCTTCCATATATCGCCATTCTGAACTCTTTACTATTTGCTTTTAAATTTGTGAGCTTTAAATAAGGGACAAATGATAAAGCCCTTGGCATGAGTCAGTCCCTGAGGAATGCGTAATGCATTCAATTTCATTAAGCATCGTTTGGAGGTGATTGAATGCATATCTGGCCTTTACAATAACTCGCGGTGGCCTTCCGATGTATTGAGTCAGTGCTGCTATCCTCCCTGACATGTCTGATACCAATTTGCCGACCTCGGAGGGATGGAAGGCTAGGTGGACCGAGGACGCTGGGATCGATCCCATGTGTGCTGCAGGACGCCTCTGACCACTGTGGCGCACGTGTCCTTTTCAACTCGTGTGTTTTATCTAATATAAACCTTTATATATCTAATTTAAGTTTTTACTCCGATGTGCGATTCAATAAAGTTGACCTTCCTTTATAGGAGGATGTTTATTGCTGTACACTTTTCGAGATCGAATTTGTTAGGAAGAAAAATAAATGGAAACCGACCACCTATGGATTAATGGGAATGTAATCTCACCATTATTCAGACGAAACAGCCGGTGCTGGCACCAATAAACCCGATCAAAACCGATTCCGAAGAGGGCAATATCAACGTGCTCAGCTCAACGGCAACGAATTCGTCATGCTCGTCGAGGTATTTTGGATAATTATATTCTCCAAAGCGTTGAAGAAAGAGATTAGATAGCACGTCTCCTCGTCTATTTATTCTAGTTCTTGATCATATTACTTTAAATACTTTAGTTCTAATAAGTGTGAGCCGTAAAAGAGGTGAAAGCTGTTTGCGATCAAGAAAAGTGATATCGGAATCTGCATGTGTAGCCATATATTTCGACATCGTAAACGCCATACCTCTACATTATCTTTTGGACAGTACCAGTTTGTAGAGTAGTAAGCCAACCATAAAATTGATTAGAATACGACACTAAACATCTCATTAGACTCCATATTTCTGAATCAAAACTACTGGTAGAATGTGGAGTATTATCGGTTTTTCAGTCCACAAGATCCCGTGCCAACAATATTTCCCGAGACTTCTCCGAGCACTACCGAAGATGTAATGTCGTCGCCCGTGACTGATTCGCAGAGCTCTCCGACAACAAATCAGGCCGACGTCCTGCCGAAGTTCTGTACATCCTGTCGGCTTTACGCAGTACGCTCTACCGAGCTCGAAGCTGCGTTGTTAGCTAAACGTAACGAACTCGAAAAGTTTAAAGAGATGATGAGAGTGGTGAGTTGTCATTTTCGTAGGATTGGCGATAGTGTTCCTGCTGGTATCTCCATCTACCTTATCCTCGTAGCGCACTAGTTGGAGGTGGCCTACGATAGACATTTCGTCCTTGGTTCAATACTACACACCGGGTTCACCAAGCCTTCCGAACCTACGGGGTCGGGAAATTGGTACAAGACTTGTCTGGGAGGATAGCATCATGGTCTCGGTTCCTCGTCAATAAAACAGAAAACGTGATATTATCGAATCTTCTTGATCTGACATGGTTTATCTGTTCTAGCATTTGCGGTGAAATTAGATTATAACCGATTTCACTGTTCTTCTAGTGACAAAACCTGTAAAGGGTTGGAATCTGATATCTCGTGTTGAGGCTATGGCTAGTGTCACTGTGATGGACTAAGCTGTATACGAGTAAATAAATTAGGTGTTATTTTGAAATTTTTGCATCACCACGAAATATCCCTTCTAGGATTTATTATTTCCACCGTAATTTTAGATTTTTTTTTAGTTTCCATAAATAACTTCAGGTTGTCACAACCACTGGCCAACTTCTCAATCACTGTTCGCCGGACAACGTCTTCATTGCTCACACAAAAAACATCTTTGCTCAGTTGCAGAACAGCATCTGCTCATCCGAATAATCAAGGACAATCAGCGAAATGAAAAACAACTCCGAATACGTGCCAGGTCTCGGAACGCCTATTTCCGTGGACGAGTCTCATTGTTGCCTTGTGTAGTAACACTAATTTCTCTCCAAAGATACCAACCAAGATATAAGTATAACTCATTAGAAATTATTTATAGAAAAGAAATTAAGTATCGTTGTTATACCTATAGTATTTCGTCGCTGATTTTTTCTCGTTATAGCTATAGGGACCTTCTATGCAGTAACTGCCTTTGAAGTGCGCTTAGTACTACGTGGAGTATTCTTGCACTTATCCATCGTGCTTTGCTTCACTATAACGGCCTTCATTACACATTTCGGAAACTAAAAACATCTCGGCTTATGCGAGGTGCTTTAGCTCCTACGAAAGACCTCGTTCGTTGCCGTTGTCGAGCTGTGAAGAGTACTAGGAGCTGAACTACCTTACACCGCTTTGGCGCCCGTAGACGGACACAGTTCACCATGTGCCTTGTGTGTATAGAAGTGTGATTGATATTTGTGCCTTAGGGAATCTCGTACACATATTCTTGTAATAGTATATTAATTATCTTATGTTTCCAAACTGCCTTTTTTATTCGTCCTAGTACTAATTATTTATTTATGAGAGATGGTTTTCGACCGGGCGAATCGCCAATCTGGTCGTGCGCTACTTGTTGCCTGAATGTGCGTTCTGGTCATGTGGCTTTAGGCCAATGTCTAAATTTTTTGTTCTCACATATGCATATTTTGTTTACTACACTACATTGTTTTGTTAACGCTTTCAATACGGATGTCTTATTATGGAGTATTACGTTAAATGCAATAAATATTATTAGTAATGCACATTATTAGTCAGTTTGCTGCAAAAGATAAAGGACAGATGAAGAAATGCCAATAATAAACAATCATCTAGAAAGGAGAAAGGGAAAAGGTGTTTATCAATAGCCTCAGAGGTCAATGAACACATAGCTGGCCCATGTAATGACTTACGGTAGGCTACCGATATATTAAGTCAATGTTCTTATCTTCCCAGTCCAAACCGGTGCCATTACACCGACCCCGGAGAGACTAAAGGTTTGGTTAGCTCGAAACGCGAGATCGGACCATAGGCCGATCTCGTGCGCAGTACTGCGGACCACTAACCACTAGCTACACCGCACTCTCAAGTTATCTGCGCTACCTGCTGTCACAATAGTACGCTAACTTAAGCGAATAGCATTGCAGCTTCAATAAGTCTCCTCCGTAAAGAGTAGTCAGAGTTGCTAAGTTCTCCTTGAAGCCCTGTAAAACAGGAACCATCACACTATTTGCATTGCTGTGTCCATTTCCACTTTTTTTTTAACTCAGAAAGAACTAAAGATTTCCCACAAGAGTTGCTAAACTTCCCTCTAATACGGTCAGGTTCTATCTGCACTAAATCCAAGCGACCATTCAAAGAAGCCCAACAAGCGTAAGCATTAACTTGAATTGTTTGAGGTTTTTGAAATGAAAAATAAAAGGCAAACTTCGGTAATTCTTGGCCCCTAATAGTATTGTAAAAGCCGATGATACGTGAAGTTCATATCGCGGTTATTATAACAACGCTCACTGTTGATCTTTATAGTACAACCAGGTCTATTTACACTTGATCGGCAACGCACACCAGTACTGCGCTGACCTCAAGTCGATGTTTGCTTCGCCATCTGGCGATGCGCTTCCTACAAAAGCGAGGTGCGCATCGTCCGTTAAAGCCGGAAATCATCTGAACCTCGTTCCTTTGGAATCCTAGCTTCAAGGCCGAAACCCTTCTAGAGTTAATATATGGAGTAAGAGGTATAAAAGGAAATCCTCTTATAAAGTGATAATGTATATAATATTCTTTCGCTAAATCTTAAAGTAGCAACCAGCCAATGATTGGATATGTGTCCCACCCTTCGTAGTAGACGACTATATCAACAATCCTTAAAGGAATGAAGGGTTTTTCGATTTGTGGAAGCATTACATTCACTCGTCCACTAACAAGCGCTCCATTACTGCACTACACAGTCACAGCCAAGGTAATGGTGCAAAAAGGCGAAGTGAATGGAATTTTAGCAGTGTTCAATAACTACCACTTTCCTCTCGTTTTCCCAAATTGCTTATTTTTGTAAAAAAAAAAAAGAAATAAAATAAGACGACGCATGTCCTGTGATGCAAGAAAAACTTTTCTGTGATCTTGTAAAAATAGATCCCTTTATCAGTTGTGATTTTTGGACCAAGTACCGAATGTTGTCATTTATCAGCGATGTCGATTATGCAGATCTTTGCCAAATTCAAAAGTTACTTTGTTTAACTAATCGAGAGACAGGCGAAACGACGAAGGACCTGCATGGTATGATGGTGAACGCGTTAGCTCCTGGAAAGGACAATAGCGCGTTCGTTCCCCACCGCAGGCACCTGCGGCCCGGAGTTTTGCAAGTAACTCAGTATCACTGTGGCTGTATTTCGCATCATACCCTGCCGTGAAAAATTATAGTAGGCAGCAAATAAAGGTTAGCATTACTTTGCTTGTTTAATCATGACTTTAATTTTAAACGAAAACTAACTGCTGGCTGAAGTTAATTTGTGATTGTAGGATCTGAATTAAAATAATCACGTCTGTATTAGAGTGAAAGCTTCGCGGTTTCGATAACACTTAGAGCCCGACGCCTTGATTCACTTAACTTTCGCATCTATTTCGCAACTCAATTTTCCTCGGACTTATTATGAGTTGATGTCAACTCATGACGATCCAACTGCCTCTTCATGTATTGCTGGAAACCCACTCACGGCGCGCTCATAGTGTTAAGAAGGACTGGAGATTGATTACGAGTGGTAGTTTGAAGCCTATATTTGTCACGGACAATTCCTCTGACAATATGTTAACCTTAGTTATTATTCATAGTAACCTTGTAGCAAACAGGTGGTAGGTCTAGTCCTACGCTCGATTCGAGATTCTTAGCAAGTGTCACTCAACCCTGTTCCTCACCCTACCTTATTATTTTTCACAACTATGTAGTCATTCTGATCTCTCACCTAACGACCTACCCTGTTATTAAAAGCTTGGTTTAAGACCATAGGGATAGCTGAAGTTGTACGACATTATTAACTGGGTTCGCTTCCTTTTGTAAGGACTAACTTTTGTGCACAAAACACGCGTGAAGTTATTCACAGCTTTGTAGATTTGTAGCAAATTCCACTGCCTGATAAAGACCCTACGCTCTTACCAAAATTATGAGACAGCGATCATGTCGCAGCCCACCATCGTAATAATAAACATTTAGATGAACGTCCTTACATATGCAGATCCCAACATTGCTTTCATTCATTTTTTTTTGTAACCGTCACCTATGAAATTGGTGATATTCGTGTGTTGCTTCTGCTGCGATTTGATGATCTCGAAGTTAATTCCGGCTATATATATATATATATATATATATATATATATATATATATCGTTT